CAGGGGGCACAGCACCGCGGCCAGGGGGGGCTGGAATATCTCCAGAGAAGGAGACTCCACAGCCTCCCTGGGCAGCCTGGGCCAGGGCTCTGTCACCCTCAGAGGGAAGAAGTTCTTCCTCGTCTTCAGCTGGAGCTTCCTCTGCTCCAGTTTGTGCCCATTGCCCCTTGTCCTGTCGCCGCGCACAAACTGGGAAGAGTCTGGCCCCATCCTCCTGACCCCCACCCTGCAGATATTTAGAGGCATTTCCAAGGTCCCCTCTCAGCCTTCTCTTCTCCAGGCTGAACAAGCCCAGCTCCCTCAGCCTCTCCTCGCAGCAGAGATGCTCTCACCCTTCTGGAGGCACTTTAGATACCATGCCACTTACACTGTGAAACAAACTCAGGACAAAAACCACAACAGCACCCCACAGAATTTTATAATGAAATCACGACACCACTAAGAGCTAGCCAGCAAGCAAAACGGAAAAATTAATTGCATTAATTGCCATGTTTCTAACAGCAACTAATTCAAAGCAACCCGTAAGCAAAAGCAGTTACCTCTTTGAGGAGTGAGACTCGGGGTTCCAGTCAGGGTATCTGTGAAATGTTAAAAGCACCAGCGTCAGTGAAAAAGCTGAATTTGCCTCCTGAGCACAATTCTCGCTCACGCGCGGCAGCTTTCAGAGACAAACGTTCCCATCGAGGATCCCCGAAGCACCAAGCGTCAGTTCATCCCCTAAGGGTCTAAAGCCGGTCCCGAACAGCACCCGGACACCCACCACCCAGTTCAGGAGACCCAACAAGCCCACTGCCACGGCCACGTGCACGCACAGGGAACACTTTGTGCACTACGGGGACGTTTTAAGCAGGTTCCTTACTGTTGGCGTAGCTGGCGGCAGCTTTCGATGTGAGGAGCGGTGTTCTGGTGCAGAATCCAGTCCTAAGAGGAGAAAAGACATCCAGAGAAGCGTGGTTAGCACGGAAAGGGTTCACATTCGACCACAATTTCTAGTTACGTGGTGGCGAATTTCACCTTCCATCAAATTTAACTTCACGAATGTCAAGGTCAAATCTCTCGCTTCAAATTATGACTCTTTAAAGCTCAAGAAGAAAATCCTTGATGGTTCTCAAATGGTCTCAGAGAACACAAAGGAATCTAAGTGGAAGCTGAACCAAACGCGTCCCATGACTGGGTTGTCCTCACCACACTTCTACTGCAAAAGGCTGATCCACCGGCCGGCCGTATGGGAAGAGAGAAAGCTCGGAGCGGTCTTCTCAGCTTGTGGGACGGATGGACACAGCCCAGCAAACTGGGCTGAATGAACCAGCGAGCCCGACACAGCGTGGTCTCTTTAAGCCACATCTCATTTCTGCAGAGCCTTGACTCCTCATGCCGTGAGCTCAAGAACGTTCACTCCTAACAACGTCACAGCTAAAGGTCAGGCAGAAAGTCTGATGAGCTGCTTCACACACGCACTGATTTATATTTAAAAAACCATAACAGATGTTTTACTTGGGAATAACCGATGGGTTAAGCACCAGGCAAATCCAGAGCACAACGCCCTCAATCCTGAAAAATCCTTCAGCACAGGTTTAGCTCTAACCACAGAATCCGTCCCTAGGAGGGGAAACTATGCCTGGAGATGTAATTCTTGTATGATTGTTATGAAAGCAAACTGAGCGAAAGCTGTGGTCAGTTTGCTATCGAGAAGAGATACTGCGTGCTCCGAAGCTGAAAGGCATCACAGGTCATCCCCAACAACTACTGAGCGTGCTTAAAAATCCAACTTCTGGCTGCTGTGATCTTTTAAAACAGATAATTTTGGCTGAATAACGCAACTGGCAAGCAAGGCTTGACGAAATAATTTGCAGATGTGGAATTACACGTCACTTTTTCTAAGCACGCCCTGGTTTCTAACACACAAGCTGCTGAACTGCGCCGTTGGCAGCACCCAGCCCTCTCGTTCACTGACAGAGCCGCTGAACGCAGCGCTGGTGCCCTCGGAGCCCGCGGGCTGGCGGAACGAACGCGACCAGGGCAGGGTTAGCT